AAAGTACTGTCTGTTCTAAAAGGCTCCTGTTTGCCAAAGTCTCTCAATGACTTGTGCCCAATCCTCATCACCCTATTTAAGATGAATCACATTTTTGCATTTACTATTATTGTGAGGTAATAAATTGCATTTTATGCTATCCTTGTTGCAAAAATAATAAAGAGATATATACATAATTTTGCCTTTATAAATGATATAAAACATACAACTGCATGGTTAAACTTTCTTTGGATGACCAAAGTCACCCCCAGAAATGTCGACCGGTATTTAATAATTCAGAATGGATTCTAAACCTGGGCGACAGTGGCTCAGCATTGGCCTTTGGGCCTGAAGGTTGTGGGTTTGAGCCCACCACAAGACCTACTTCATGACTCCCAGTGATGTCTGCTGTTGATGTGTCCTTGGGCAAGACACTTAACCCCACTGTGCCTGAAGCCCCAACCGCAGCAGAACATTTTTGTGGTTATGGGAAAAAAATGGTTAATTGTACAGGCCTAGTTATCAGAGTACTCCTTTTACATTTAAAAAACAGACAAACAAACACACTCGAAAGACACTAAAACATACCATATTGCATGTTTCCTTCAGTACTGTCTGACACCACAAGGAAACTGCTCAGCGTGAAACAAATTCACATAGTTTTGAGTTGTTAGAGTTCTGTTTAACAGCGTACAATGACAAATTGTATCTTCACTCTTACTTGCACTATCATTATTTGGTAATGCCTATTGTTTGTTTCTTTTCTTGTTTTGTTAAGCACTTTGAGTTTTCCTGTGCGTGAACTGTCCTATATAAATAAACGTTCCATCCCATTCCATCTTCTTCTGCTTCCTCCGTTGCCGGGTTGCGGGGGCAGCAGTCTAAGCAGAGACGCCCAGACTTCCCTATCCATACACACTTCCTCCAGCTCGTCCGGGGGGACCCCAAGGCGTTCCCTGGCCAGCTGAGAGACATAGTCCCTCCAGCGTGTCCTGGGTCTTCCCTGGGGCTTCCTCCCGGTGGGACGTGCCCGGAACACCTCCGTTCCGGAGGAGGCGTACAAGAGGCATCCGGAACAGATGCCTGAGCCACCTCAACTGGTTCCACTCGACGTGGAGAAGCAGCGGCTCTACTCCGAGCTCCTCCCGTGTGACTGAGCTCCTCACCCTATCTCTAAGGGAGCGCCCAGCCACTCTGCGGAGGAAGCTCATTTCGACCGCTTGTATCCACGATCTCGTTCTTTCGGTCATTACCCACAGCTCATGACCATAGGTGAGGGAGGGAACGAAGATTGACCGGTAAATTGAGAGCTTTTTTCTTTCAACTCCCACTTCACCACAACGGTCCGATACAGCGTGCGCAGTGATGCGGCACCCATCCGCCTGTCAATCTCAGGCTTCATCCTTCCCTCACTTGTGAACAAGACCCCGAGATACTTGAACTCCTCCACTTGAGGAAGAATCTTCCCACCCACCCGGAGAGGGCAAAGCACCTTTTTCCGGTCGAGCACCATGGCCTCAGATTTGAAGGTGCTGATTCTCATCCCAGCCACGTCACACACTGCTGCAAACCGTACCGGTGCATGTTGCAGGTCCTGGCTCGTTGGAGCCAACAGGACAACATTGTCTGCAAACAGCAGAGATGAAATCCTGTGGTCCCCGAACCGGACCCCCTCCGACCCCTGGCTGCGCCTAGAAATTAAACACAGTGAACAGAATCTGTGACAAAGGGCAGCCCTGGCGGAGGCCAACATGCACCGGGAACAGGTCTGACTTACTGCCTTAATGCGAACGCAGCTCTGGCTCCGGTCATACAGGGACCTGATGGCCCTCAGCAGAGGACCCCAAACCCCCCAAAGGACACCCCGGGGAACACGGTCGAACGCCCTCTCCAAATCCACATAGCACATGTGGACAGGTTGGGCAAACTCCCATGAACCCTCGAGTATCCGATGGAGAGTATAGAGCAAATCCAGTGTTCCGCGGCCGGGACGAAAACCAAACTGCTCCTCTTGAATCCGAGATTCGACCATCGGTCGTAGTCTCCTCTCCAGTACCTTGGAGTAAACCTTACCGGGGAGGCTGAGGAGTGTGATCCCACGATAATTGGAACACACCCTCCGGTCCCCTTTCTTGTAGAGAGGGACCATCACCCGGTCTGCCAAGAAGGCCGAGTACTCTGCACTGCTGTTCGGCCCGTAGGCTGTCACAACAGTGAGAGACTTGCCCCCCACCCAAAGGCGGAGGGACGTAACCCTCTCATTCACCAAGGAGAACTCCAACACGTGGCGGCTGAGATGGGGGGCAATGAGTATGGCCACCCCAGCTTGCCGCCTCTCCCCGCGAGAATACCAGAGAAGTGGAGCGTCCAACCCCTCTCAAGGAGTTGGGTTCCAGAGACCAAGTTGTGTGTGGAGGTGAGGCCGACTATCTCTAGTCGGTATCTCTCAACCTCCCCCACAAGCTCGGGCTCCTTCCCCCCCAGTGAGGTGACGTTCCACGTCCCAAGAGCCAGATGTTGTGTGTGTGGACTGGGTCGCCGAGGTCTCCGCCTTCGACTGCTGCCCAGTCCTCTCTGCACCTTCGTCTGACTCGTCACCTGAGACCTGTCTGCCATGGGAGACCCTACCAGGGGCATAAAGCCCCAGACAGCATAGCTCCCAGGATCACTCAAGTACTCAAACTCCCCCACCACGTGAAGGTTGCAGTCCAGGGGGGAGATAAATTAACGTAATATTGTAAAATACCACTATACCTGGGTTTCAGAATAATGATAAATGAATGTTTTGGCGGTAGGGCGGCGCATACACTTTTTACACCAAACAACATCTTGAGAAACACCATTATGCCACCCCTGTTGCCTGAAATCATCCAATACCACCTGATTGATCAAAAAATGTGAGAATATTGAAAAAATATGCACTTACATTTGTTTGATTTTCTATACAATACACTTTGCTGAGAATGATTTTTTTTATCCCTAACCCTAACACTTTTTACAGTCCAGGGTACTACGAAAGCCTTTGATGGACAATATGTCGTCTTTGACAGTGCTCCCCAACTCTCATGGTGCTTTCAGACCGGATCATGCGTCGGGTTTCAATGCAAAGTCCATGGTGACGCGCGTTCGGCCATCGCAACGCACAGACCGCTTGGTTCGCACGAACGGACTGTTCAGTAGAGACGCACGGACTTGGCGGGAAAGTGAAAAGGGAGGAGCAGGAGCGAAAAATCGACGCCCACAGGAGATGGATTTTGCTCATCCTTTCCTTGGGACGTTCGTGCGACAACCAATCAGAGAGCAGCAAAGTGGTCACGGGGACATCAGCGGACTGAGCGAGCAGACTGAAAATACTCATAAACAGCCAAAACAGGACCCACACCAGGCTTCACCAGAACTCAAACCAGGGTTGACAATGGGGGACTCTGTGCTTGTGAATATATGCGTTGTCATGCTCCCGTGACCTTATGCAACTGCTTCGAGTGTGTTCGCCGATGCTGAAATTCCGTTTAATAATATGAAAAAACGTATGGCGCACCTCCGTGAACACATACTACTGTTATATAAAGCCCGTGGAATGTCTGTGAGCAAAGACACGCTGCAAAGCTGCATATTGGAGAAGATCTGGACACAAGAAGCCGCTAGCATAGCTCTGTTAGCATCAGAGCCGGCCGGCTACTTCCGGGTACTTCCGGCTCGCGTCAGGACGTTCTGGTGTGAAGACCCCTGCGTTTGAAAACTAGAGAATGCGCGTCTGGTGAGCGGGGCTTTAGCGTTTCAGCGTTGGCGGTGTGAAAGCCCCGTCAGTCCTTCACCGGACTGCCAAGGAAAGAATTTAGTTTGATAAATGACCAGACCTCTCCCTACGTCTTGGTCATTTTACACTGTAGTGTGGAGGCTGCATTTGAAGCAACTGTAAACCTTACACTGAGTACCTTTGATACTCTGGGTAATTTTTACAGTTGTTCCACATAAAAATATGTTAACTAATAACACATGTGACCTTTTAAGAAAATTTCCACCATGTTTTTGTAATTGTTTTCATAGGCTTAGAATTTTACTTCTAAATGTCCATGAGAACTGAGGACTATCCATGTCAATGCCATCTTGAAATACATGGTGGATAAGGGACAAAAAGGATGCGAGAATCATGTTTTATTTTCACAGGTTCTACTAATATTGTTGCTTTCACCGTGCCCTCACAAGTTTGAAAAAGGGATACTGGAGGACCACCGTTATATAAAAGAATGACCCGAACAACTATCTTTTAGAAAAAAAAAGTCCAGAAACCAACATCATAGCAACGAAAGTGTCAACGTCGCAAACCACACGCACCAAAAGGCAGCGTTAAAACAACAGGAGGCACATTGTAAAGTTTGTACACAACAGACTTACATGTGAGAAATACGTAACTTTCTTCACACCAACAGTAAAGTTTCTTCACACCGATAGTAACTTTCTCCACACTGACAGTAATGAGAACGAGGCAGAACCTGCAACATGGGTCTCAGGATGTTCTCACTCGTTACGAGCGCAGTGTAACTACTATGTCAAGTTTCAGCTAAACGTATTGTTCTGTTTTCTTACCGTGTTGCGGATGAGGCGCCGTGGCTAACCTTAAAAATAACCTGAGCTTTTAGGTATGTTCTGCCGCAGCAGTGTGTATGTCATGGCTCCCACAGACGTTATCCTCCATGCGTCTCTTCTCTTCACACCTTGTTTGTAAAACTATATATTTCAATAGATCCATGGCAAAACTCATTAGAGCTTCTTTGCAGTGTGTGGGTGCCGCTTCAGAACGCGGTCTTGTTTACATGTCTGCCTCCACGCTACAGTGTCAAGTGACCAAGACGTAAGGATAGATCCAGTCATTTATCAACCTAAAGGATTCTTTCCTTGGCAGTCCGATGAATGAAGAGTATATATGGTCCATCGAAGGCTATATAAGATCTCAACGCTAGATGGGAGTAAAAACTACACACTGTACCTTTCAAACACTGTGTCTGTGCGTGTGTCTGCAGATCGACAAGCAGCAGTTTGAGGAGACTGTGAGAACGTTGAATAACCTCTACGCTGAAGCAGAGAAACTCGGGAGCCAGTCGTTCATCGAGGGCTGTTTGGCCTGCCTAACGGCTTACACGGTCTTCCTCTGCATGGAGACACACTACGAAAAGGTCAGACTTTTAACTAATACTTTGCTTGATTTAAATGCCTGGCCCATGAACATGATTTTGAGCGCAATAACGCCCTCTAGGGAAATTATAAGCCATCAAAAACGCACACGCTTTTTTAAAAAGACAAATCTGATTTACTTAAAAATAAAGTTATATACACAACTGATATACAGTATTTCATGTTAATAGACAACTGCAATTTTAATGAGCCAGACTGGTCCAAGGGGCAACAACCTGGATTATAAAACAGTTTCTACTGCCTTCAGGCTTTTCTGGACATTAAAATGATGTATGATATGTCCAAATTGATACACACCAGAGCTATATTACTGCCATATATGTAGTTTTTTTACACTATCAAATTAAGACAAAGTTAACGACTGGTTTTCAAAGGGACTGAGTTTTACAATTTGGTATAGTATGGCTCTATTGGTGAAGCTGTGGTAACCATGGTCACACTGTTACAGTAAGTGACCTTTGTGTGTTAGATCACTATCGCATTTTATTCGATTGTGTTTTTAACATAACTAATTTGGAGGAGCCATTTAATTCAACACTGTCACACTTTCAGAGAGGACACTGGACAAATATTTTCAGGCCGGTTTTCTGTCAATTGTACTCTGCTACTCCTTGTAGATCCGCCATGCTCCACCAGAGTTATTTCGCTGAGCTCCACATAAGGATCTGGGATCGGGGGCAATGCAAACTCCTTCAAGATAGCAAAAAATCATCAGGATTGCCGGGCGGTATTTCATAGATGTGCCATAGCAATAAAGCGACTGTTTGATTCAAACAACAATGGCGGCTTAATGTTTAAAGCCTTAAAGTCAGTCGTGCCTTTCAAAAATAAGAAAGGGTAAGGCTAAACCAGCACCATGGCTAAATTATGACACTTGAAATGAAGCATTAGAGGTCACTTGGTTGCTATTACTAATGATTAATGATACTAATACTAATGATAACCTCAGACTGACTACCCACGCACGTCACTTCACCAGGCTGGTCCCATCCTTCCTCAGCCTATCACATCAGCTTTGCCACTACCCTGTCAGCCTTGCCAATCAAGCCAGCGCTTAAAAGCAAGACTCCGCACAGCAAAAATAGCCTTTGAAGCCACTACCACCTCTGCTTTGGGATTTCATTGTACGCTCCCATCCACCTTTCCCTGTTGCCAACACCAGTGCTTAGGCCCTGGGGATCATAATCTGCACGCAAGTATCGATCCTCACAGACCTAGCAAGTAAAAACAAACTTGCAATCAAATGATCTTTTAACGCATCCTATCTCTTGTAGTCTCCCCAGATTGAATTATAAACATCTTTTTCTTCACAGGCTCTGTACCAGCATCACTTAAAACTTCCCTTGTGCAGCTCTCCTCAAAACGCCTGGCCTTGATACTTCAAATTGAAATTTTGGCCTATATCCAAGCTGCCATTTTTGTTCAAGATACTTGAAAAGACAGTTGTTAAGTTTATAGAAGTTTTGCACCAAAATGCTTTATTTTACCAAATTCACGGTTTTGTAGAGGGACCACTTTATTATGGGTCAAAAATGATGTGACTGCTGATGCAACCTTTGATACTGTGAATCATGGCGTTCTGATTCAGAGCTTGGAACATTGGTTTGGAATAAAAGCAACAGTGCTTCAGTGTTCCTGCTCATATCTGACCATTGATGATAATGCTTTGCCTCTCTTCTTTTGTATGTGTTGTCCCCCAGGGATCAGTAGTTTTTGCTTTATTTTCTTTATTCATGTTGCCCCTGGGGCATATTATGAAAATAGAGGTTTTCTCTTTATGAAAAAATCAGCAAAAATAACATGGCTTTATAATTGTATGTGTATCAGATACGTTAATGGGCATTCAGTTAACAATAATAGGCAACAAATATGACTACAATCCAAACATTTGATAGATATTTTACTTTAGAATCTTCTCAAGTAATTAAGAGGTGGTTTTATGTGTTTCAGGTTTTAAAGAAAATTGCCAAATTCATCCAGGAACAGAACGACAAGATCTATGCCCCGCGCGGCCTGCTGCTGACTGACCCGATCGAAAGGGGCCTCCGGGTTGTATCCTTCCATCGGCGCAAACTCTGTCAGTCTATATTTCTATATGGGCTGGTGTTAAGAAAATACATTATTCTATTTTTTTTTCTTTGCTTATCCTGATGAGCGCCTGACCGTAAAATGTTCTAAAAGTCTGTAGTTTTAATGAATTTACAATTGAGAAAGTTTGTTCTAATTATCCTAAATATGTACCAACGGTTGTATAATGAATAAAATATCTTAGTACGAAAATTCATGTTGTACTTGTACTGCACTTGTCAGAAGCCAGACTTTTAGAATCACTTCTACAATGCACATGTGTTCCCTTAAAATCAGGCCTGTCAAAATTATCGCGTTAACGCACGTTAATTACAATATTCATTAATTGCGTTTTTTTTAAATAAAACACGTTTATGTTGGTTGTTGTTAGGATGTTTGGACATTTTCAAACTGCAGCCCTGGAAAAGCTTAGCGTGTTGTTTGGACCAGAGGGAATCTCATTATAATGGACACTTTCCAACATATCTTTTACCTGGATAACTTTATCAAGGAAAGCGCAGTACTCTGACACTGGTACACTGTCATTCTTGTCCCTCATGTGACCTTTGCGCCATTTTCATAACCTCCGTCACTTGACCCACACGTAAGCAACTCCCAAGTGGTCACTTGCGAGCCTTGTTGCTCAGTGTGAATGACACAATTTCCAGGGTTTTTGCCAACGTAACGAAAAGCCCTAATGTCGTTTCCTGGCTGTGAAATAAAAGATCTCTCAATTTATAACAAGCTTCACAAATTGAGACGCTGCACAAACTGAAATTTTGATTCTGCTGCAATTAACCTTGCGCCCCCAAAGTTACCGTAAATTTTCCTCTGGCTTGGAGCGCACTGTCTTGTAAAAGTGCCTACGTAATCCGTAGCATGTGCCCCAAATCGGCAGAAGCACCTCCTCCTAGCTGAATGGACAACTCCCCCGACCACTCTCCAACGGAAGATTAGAAAGCAGCAAATATGATTGTTAACAGGCCTGGCCACACATTGGGTCTTGGCTATGAAGCTGCGATCTGCGAACGCTCCCCAACACGGCACGTTTCAAGTGCTTGTCAAGACCACACTGGCATTTCATGTGCGCTCAAATGAATAGGCTTAGCGCTAAAGCATAATGCAATCATATTTTTCCAGTAAAAATGGTGGTGATGAAATCCAGGGCAGTTGTAAGGTTAGGGGAGCTTTTATTTGGGAATCATGTCCTGTCTTTGACCCGTCTTTAACAGATGAATAATTTGAATTGAACTTAACCAACGTGTTTCAGATTGAAGTCACCATCTTTGAAGACAGAAGCCTGACGAGATAAAAAGCTGTCACAGGTAAGAGAAGGGCTGCCCTATCCTTTCCATTTCTGAATAATGGATGAACAGTGCTCTGCGAAACGTTGAAAAACTTAACATTTGGGCGCTGTGTTTTTTTGGGTGCTGGGAAAAATCTTCAAAACTGCACAATTTTATACAAAAACTAACCAATTAATCAGTCCTTTTGCTTGTCTGGTTCTATCAGTTTTCACATACATGTATTTTTGGTCAATTCTTTGGACAATTGCCACACTTACACACTCGAACAGGGCCTGAGTGGAATAATAGTACAAATTAGGGTCCGGCCCGAACTTTCTGGGTCTTCTCTGGCTCAGGCAAAGATCTTCAGCTCTAGAACACAGGTCTTATTTTAGACCGGCCCAGATAGTGAATGGAAAATGTGACGCTGCAGAAGTTGACACTTTGACCCAAAGTGAGTTGTTTTTGGCTGACGAAACTTCCCACAATCTCTTTCTGGCCGGACAGAGCAGTGAGGTTTGGGTCCGTCAGGAGCACACACTTTGTTCTGTGCTGGAATGTAAATTGCACTTTTATAAGGAGCTGCTGAGAGAGGATCTCAACACAGACCTCACTCACTACATGCACTAAAGATGGTACCTTTATTTAACCAAGAAAGACCCATCCACATTTGCTAGGGACATGCCCACTGCCCATTCTTTTAGTTCAACTGTTCACTGATTTACCAGAAAGCATCTGTCATTTACAAATTCACTCTTGATCTTTCATGTAGAAATATTTGAACCGTGACATGTTTTACATGCCGGTCTAAAATCATCCTCACTTCATCTGGAAAAGCAGAGTGAATGTTTGTAGAGCACAGGGGGCTTTCAGCGGCTCATTCCTCTGTTGTGAGCAGAGCCAGTCCTCAGTCTGGGCCCAAGTTTCAAGTCTCACTCACAATGAACCAAAGCAGAGACTTGTCAGGAAGTCTATTTTCTGTTCCCACTTTGAAATAATTTTACCATATTGGCAGGTCAACACAATATTAATACTTTTCTTTTAGCGTCACCAAAAATATAATCATATAAAACTAATGCCTGTCAGGGCTTACCCCTCCCACACACATACCCACACACACACACACACACATTGCAGAGCTGTCTTATCTAGCTTCTGGGTGTAACCTCCAGGCTTTGCCCTATGGCCTGAGGTCTGGGAGGTTAAATCAGTACACGCCTGATAAGACAGATGAAGTACACCCTGATGAAGACAATAACTTTTTTTCCTCAATTGACAGCAGTTGTCTCTATTACACTGAAGATCAGTTCAATAATATGAAGCTAAACGGCCAACTTTCTATTATTCATTTTAATAGTAGAAGTTTATATGCTAATTTTGGACAAATCAAGGATTACTTACATCAGCTTTCCAATCGGTTCAATATTATTGCAATTTCAGAGACTTGGATTACAGATTGGGGCGACAGTAGCTCAGTTGGTAGAGCATTGGCCTTAAGGCCAGAAGGTCGTGGGTTCAATTCCCACCTCTGCACCTTCTCCACCTCTGCACCTTCTCCACCGACTCCCACTGATGTGTCCTTGGGCAAGACACTTAACCCCACTTTGCCCAAAGCCCCCACTGAAAGATCAAGGCTTTGCTCACACTCAGAGAGCAGCCGTCCTCCTGTGGACTCACCACCTGCAGAGGATCAGTGAGGGGCTGGTGCTATGAGACTTGGGTGGCATCTCTGATTGCCACCCCCCTGACCCAGATATGGATTAAAGGGTAGAAAATGGATGGATGGATGGATTACAGATTGTAAAGGAGCCAATTTTGAACTGGAGGGATATGAACTTTTTTGAATAGGCAACATAAAGGAGGGGGAGGAGTGGCATTGTTTGTGGATAAACATTTGACCTACAGGATCATGGACAGTATGACTATAGCATTGGATGATTTACTGGAATGTTTAACAATTGAGTTATCAACAGAAGGAGCTAAAAATATTATTATAAGTTGTATATACAGAGCACCTGGTTCTAACGTGGAGTTATTCAAAGATTGGTTGGAGGAAACCTTTATAAAAAGAAATAATAATATAATTTATATGGAGATTTAAATATTGATTTGTTGAATCCAAATAATCACGGTGCAACAGAGGAATTCATGAATACAATGTATAGCCTTAATCTAATTCCTAAAATAACAAAACCATCAAGAGTAACAACAAATAGTGCCACTCTTATTGATAACATTTTCACTAATGACATAATCAATCATCAATCAATCTTTATTTATAGGGCGCTTTTCCTGCACAGGGCAACACAAAGCGCCTCACAGTCCACACCACACAATGCACAAATCATCACCATTAAAATACAATTAAAAACACATATGTAATTAAAAAGCATTAAAATCACATAAGTAATTTAAAAACATAAAAATCACACAAGTAATTAAAAACAATAAAATAGTTAAAAACACAAAAAGTTACAACAATAAATAACAAGGTGTGTTAAAAAGATAAAATTCTCTAGTTGTATGCACGGGAAAAAAGAAAAGTCTTTAACATGGATTTGAACATTGACAGAGAGGCAGCCAGTCTCACATCCTCAGGAAGACCGTTCCAGACTCCAGCTGCATAAATCTGAAAAGCAGCCTCCCCCTGTCTAGTCCTGACTCTGGGCACTAACAGGAGTCCCGTCCCTGCGCTCCTCAGAGTCCGGGCTGGTTCATATGGGACTAGCATATCATGGATGTACTTTGGTGCAAGGCCATGGAGAGACTTGTACACCAGGAGAGCTGCTTTAAAGTCTATTCTCTGGGCCACGGGAAGCGGCGGTACAATTAGTGGGTTGCTAATAAATGATATTAGTGATCATTTACCAATATTTACTATAACTAATCTAACTATGAAGGGTCATGAACAAGGAAAAAAACATTATTATAGACGCATGCAAGCTGTTGAGAACATTAACACTTTTAAGGATGATTTAATGCAGCAAGACTGGAATGCAATATATGAAACAATGGAGAGAGATGAAGCATATGAGAATTTCATACAGATATTTACCCACTTGTACAATAAAAACTGCCCCTTACAACAGTTCACTTGTAGGAGTCAAAATGATAATACAAATGCTTGGATGACAACAGGCCTTTTTAAGGCATGCAGAAAGAAAAATAAACTGTATAAAAACTTTATAAGGAAAAGGAATAGAGATGCAGAGATAAGGTACAAGCAATATAAGAATAAACTAACAAGCATAATGAGAAATAGTAAGAAAGAATATTATAGAAAGCTAATAGAAAATAACAAAGGTAATATGAAGGGGATATGGAAAACACTAAATGAAATTATAAAAGGCAATTGCAATCATAATAACTACCCAAGGCATTTCCTGGAAAATAATCAAGAAATTCGCAGTAGGGAAGATGCAGCTCACAAGTTTAATACATTCTTTGCTAATGTTGGGCCTGACTTAGCCGCTAAAATCCCTGAACAACACATGGGAGAAACTCCTTGGGGACAGCTAATAGAAACTAATCCTCATTCCATGTTTCTACAGCCAGTGGATTAAACTGAAATTATAGGAGTAGTCAGACAATTTAAAAGTAAGAAATCAAGTGATTATAATGATCTGAACATGGCCTTGATAAAAGAAGTAATTAATTACATTTCAAAACCATTAGTACACATCTTCAATTTATCATTCAGTACAGGTACAGTTCCAAACAGTATGAAGATAGCAAAAGTGATACCACTATTCAAAACTGGAAATAAGCATCATTTTACTAACTATAGACCTGTGTCCTTACTACCGCAATTCTCTAAAATATTAGAAAAACTTTACAGTAATAGATTAGATAAATTTGTGGACAAGTATAACCTACTGCATGACAGTCAATATGGTTTCAGGGCAAAACGGTCTACATCACTTGCATTGATGGAGTCTGTTGAAGAAATCACAAATTGCTTAGATGAAGGTAAAATAACGGCTGGGCTTTTTATAGACCTAAAAAAGGCATTTGATACAATAAATCATACTATATTAATAGATAAGTTAGAGAAATGTGGGATAAGGGGTATTGCATTAGAATGGATAAAAAGTTTAAAAAAAAATAGGAAACAGTTTGTGAAGCTTGACAATGTCAGCTCTCCATATTTGGATGTTGTATGCGGTATCCCCCAGGGGGCAGTAGTGGGTCCAAAGCTATTTATTATATATATTAATGAGTTGTGCAAGGTGTCGCAAATTTTCAAAACTGTGCTCTTCGCTGATGACACAAATTTGTTTTGTGCAAGTCACAATATAAGCGAACTCACAACTCAGAAACAGAAATGAGCAAGTTAAAAAGATGGTTTGCTCAAAATAAATTGTCATTAAATTTGACCAAAACTAAAATTATGTTTTTTGGAAATTTTAAAGATATGGAAAAAGTAACAATTAAAATAGAAGGTGTTGAAATTGAAAGAGTAACAGATAACAAGTTTCTGGGAGTCATAATTGATGATAAGTTAAACTGGAAGAGTCACGTAACATATATACAAAAGAAAATAGCAAAAAGTATTGCAATCTTATACAAAGCAAAGGATATATTGGATAAAAAAATTGCTACACACATTATACCATTCACTAATTTCACCATATTTTAGTTACTGTGCTGAGATCTGGGGCAACATCTACAAAACCACGCTAAATCCACTCATCAAACTGCAAAAAAAGGTAATAAGAATCATCAATAAAGCTGGATACAGAGATCACACAAACCCATTATTCATTCAGTCAAAAATAATAAAGATTCATGACCTGATTGATTTACAAACACTTCTAATTTTATTTAGAGCTAGAAATAAACAGCTTCCTGCACACATACAGAATATGTTTATTGAAAGAGAAACAAATTATAATTTAAGAGGATTGTTTTTTTTCCAATTTAAAAAGGTCCGCACCACATTAAAAAGCTTTTGTGTTACCGTCAGTGGAGTAAAAAAATGGAATGAATTGGACGCGGAACTTAAAAAAATGTCAAACATTATTTG